TCGGGCGGGCGGCGCTGCACCCACCCGCTCCCCCTGGTGGGCAGGCACCAGCCCTGCAAACGGCCGCGCCTGGCCCAGCCGCTTTCCTTCCCACTCGGATTTTTTTGACCCCGAACAAAAAAAGAAGGGGGGGGCGGTGGGGTGGGTGAGGAAGCTGTAGTTGAGTGCTTGGAAAAACATCCTCCAAATTTTGATACTGACTACAACGCAAGAATGCAATCTATCGATTCTGACCTGCAGTATAGCCTATGAAATCTTTAAGGATACATTACATAGTGCATGTAAGCATGAAAGACTTTTTTTTTCCAAATTTATTACTTGTTTATTGTTGACTTTATTCTTAATATCATAACGTTAATTTTTGAGCCATTCTTCTCCTAATACACATATGTTTGTCCACAGTAAAAACCAGAAAGAAGTCTCCGATGCCAAAATGTAAACATGCAAAAATTAATATAAAGATTTAGAAAAACTAAGACTCCCCAGTGTAAAACTATGATTAAAATAGTTGTTGCAAGTCCCAATGTTTGCCTACAACTGCAAGTTATACATAAAAGAGTATCTCCAACAGTTATTCGTCAGTGTCTCCACATGATTTTCGCTACACTTCCTTTTGTCCCAAATTAATTTCAGAACCTGTAAAAGAGAACTAAGGGGCTGGGCCGAAACCTTATTCCAGGTGTGCCGCATTTCTTCTGTTTTGTCTAAAATAAAGTTTTCCCATGAAATTGTTTATTCATGTTATCATAAATAATTGCATGGCAGTAGTTCTCCAGAAAGTTTTCTTTGAATCGAACAATTTCTGATCATTTACTTCCTGAATCACCATCAAATCAGAGTGAAGGCTTTGACCTTTTTACTGTACCAGTGTATACAGAAAGGTTAGAACATCTTTAACTGTCACCTTTAACATAAAAATACATCTGGACTGGTGAATGCAGTGCAATCAATAATCAGTATTCACCAGTCTCACGTATTTCACAACACCAAATTTCAGCACCATCCTTAAAATTCTAATAAAAAATTGATGCTTAAAATGCTAGGTTTAAAAATAATGCACAGTCCTTCAATGAATGGTTTTTTTTAAGCCTCATGATTCTTTATCAAAAACCTGGATAAAGTATTAAGTTGCTCACATAAACAAATGCCAAAAATCTGTGGGTTTATTTTCTTCAAAAGATTTTGACAATCTTCATGCAAAAATACATATGAATGTGGTATCTTTGTAAAATGCCACCACTTGTAATACAAGCAAGAGGCCTATACTTTTAAAACTCAGGATTACCCTATAACGAGTCATAATATATCACCAAATGTGACTGAGAAATCACACATTTTCAGATTTAAAATACAGAAACAATATCATAAACAGATCAACTTGACACAGTAGATAGTTGTAAAGTTCAGTACACCTTAGTTACCCAGTTTCATTGATCATACTCAGTGACTCAAGCAGGGTAGCTGCAGATACAGTTTAACAGCACATACAAAGACTGTATTTTTTCTGTATTTCAATTTTTAACATAATTAATCTTATAGCAACTACATCTATTTTAAATTTTCTTAGCTAAGCTGGATGCCAAGCCACCTTTTTCAAAATTAGCTTCATACAATAAGTTTCCCCTAAAAAACTGAATAGATCATTCTGTCAAATAAAATTCATTATGTTGAATGGCCAAAATATTAGTGTCTCATGTAAGCTACAAACACAACTTGATTCTTTTGACCAAGTACATACACTTCAAAATTTGAGAAGTGTTTAGCAATATTATTTCTGACTTCTTAGTATTTTAAACACAGATCATTCCAATCTCCTTTAGCACGTTCAAAACAGCTTTAATTGTTAAACAATTCAATCACAGATCTTAAGCTAAGCCAACATGAGCAATTACATTCTTCCATCATCCTGAAGAGTAACTTGCTTCGATGAGTGCTGATATTCAATGAATCTCGGTTTCCTAACATTACTTGTTTGTGCTTTTCTGAACTAGCGTACAAAAATCACTGAGGAATTATTTCATAAAAATGAAGACAAAAAAATAGTTTTCTCATCTGTAACATGTATGTTTGCTTTCAGGGAAAAGATGCTTCTTTTCTTCTCCAAGAGGGTTGGACATTACATAACATAAAAAAATAATATTACGCAATTATATGATAATGCACATGGGCAAATGTTCTTTGCATAATGCAAGAGTATTTTGAATAAATTTAAAAAAAAAGTCTTAACACAGTACAAAGTTTGCAGGTAGAAATAATATCTTTTTTTTTAGACCAAGTGGTAGAGTTGGGAAGAATAAGACACACTTTTGGAGCCATAAGCCTCTCCTGCAGTCTGAAGAGCAGTGTATTTCAAAGCTTATGAACAAGTGTGAAAATTAAGAAGAGGCGGGGAGGGGAATAAACCCAAATATTATTAACATCTTTTCAAAAGTTAGTTTGGATATCACCATATCTGTCATAAATCGACAGAAGGTCATTTAACTGCAGAAGAATTGGCAGAATAAACACAAATGGACAATACACAACAAAATTAAGAGTTGCAGTTGATACTTACCACTTGAATGAGAAATTCTACTGGAAAGCCTCCTAGTGTTTCACTATCTGTGCCTGAAATTTTGGTTTTCCACGAAGATTGTCCTAATAAACGATCACTGTCCTATATCAGAAAAAACATTTAATTTAATAGCTTATTTTTAGAGGGATTTGCTAAAATTTTTATCTTGCTGAGTAAGCTCAGAAAATTAGTCTCAAAAACTGTTTAAGGTAACAGCTTCAACATGTACTGGAAAAAACATTTCAGTGATTAATATTACATAAAAAAAGTAACTTACTGTAATTGAAGACTGGAGTGGAGATGTATAAGGCAATCGGGGAGGGGTCATAAAGAACCTTGAAGGCCGTTGTTTCTGTCCAAAGGCAGCAATTGGCATGGTTTCATGAGGCTCGTTACTCTGTAAGACAGGAAAAGGAAGGATATACTTCAGCTGTCAGATCAATTAATTTTACACCCCTTTTGGAATATGTAATTTATTTATGGAATCTAGACTAGCCATGCCAATCCACGCCCCAACCCAACAACGTTAAAAGATTAATGTTTTGGTTTTGGGCTAGCAGGATCTTCAAAATCATATTCTACTGCTAGAGTTTTGAAAGTGTTATGGCATTACATCAAATAAAACCTGCAAGAATATTTCCAAAAATTCTGTTGGCAAGTTGCAGACAAATCATTACTGAACAGGAGTTCAGCAGAGGCTCCAAACTCAGCTCATGACAGAGACTAGACAAATCATGGACGCTTAGCAGATTCAACACTACACAAGATACAAAAGAACGTGAGGTTCTCTGAAAAGCTTCCGGTCTACATCAGACTGTTTGGCAGGAACAATTCTGGAGCTCATAAATCAGTACAAAAGCCTATGAGCTAGGAAACAATCCCAAATTGTTTGACCAAAGCAACAACCCCACAGGTAACTTCATTACCATAAAAGGTTTCAAAATGAGGTTCAATCAACTCATAATACTTGCTTGCAGCTACCACAGGGCTTTCCAGACTTTGGCAAGTTGCGAAGGGACAGGTTTTCTTGAACATTTTCTGCAAATCCTGGCACGATCCCATAGCAGAATTTTCTTTGGGATCTTACACTACTCGTTATATTTCTTCACATTAAACTCATATAAACCTATAACAGTAAGTCTAGTAAATTATTCCAGCCTGAGCCATTATGTTTTTATCATAGAGGGTTATCCTGTTGTATAAAACCATAAACAGTAGAAACTCATTCCTCTGAAATTTCCCATGCATCTGTTATGCTTGTTTCTACTTTATGACAATACCACCTGGATGTAATATTTTGAATTTTCTTCTTCTTGATTAAAGCACACAATTGTAGATTATTTTATTTTGTTTTTTATTACAGCTTTTAAGACTGTGTCATTAATACTTACAAGAACTTCATAATCTGGGACTGTGTGTGTTCCAAGACCTGCCCTGTCAAAAGTCACTCTGTATGTAGCATTAAGAGTGTCTACAGCGTCTATTTGTCCAGTGAATAGTCCATCATGGACTCCTCGCAAACGTGCTTAAAAAAACAACAAAAGAACAAACAAAAAAACAAATCAAACATTATAATGTTCTGATACCATTGAGAAAAATAGACTTAATACATCTTTTGGAAGTAACTCTTTATATGTATATTTAAAACCCACAGATTAAAAGAAAAAAAAAAACCAACAGTAAACCCAGAAAAAGAATTGTATGCAATAGAAATACTACCCAAATTTTTGTCAAATTTATCTTTGCAGGTCAAGTATTTCCCAAATCTAATCCTTAGCGCTACACTTATGTCTAAATAAAACACTATTTAATACCCAATACTTTCTGACAGACAGATTTTGTAGGCCATAGTCAATTTCCAGATGATTTTGCATACCATTTCTCTTTGATCTCTTCCACTGATGACTGCATATTTAGCAAAAGACAATGAGGAATGCAGCTCAAGGATACAGCTCTAGGACAGTGAGGAGAGGCAGTATTGTGCATGCCTGCTCTTCAGCAAGAATTAAGGGCAGTGTTGCTGAAGAATGCAAAAAGTAATGAGCAGTAGTGGCTTGAGTGGGAGATAACATGCTCAAGTGAAAAGCATCTGGGTCACAAACAGACAGGATGGAGGAATTCAAGTTTTTATAAAATTAGATAAAACTTGTGGAACGTTAACAATAATATTCCTTCCTCAGTTATGTGTAAGTTTTTTCATAAGGCAATGTCATGTTTAGTATACATGTCCAACTACACTGCAATATCAATTGAGTATCTGTTTCAAAACAGATATTTTTATATTTACAGAAAAATAAAGCTCAAGTTTTGTATTAGGTTAGATTTTAAACTTTCAAACAGCACTCAGCTCTTTGCATTTAAGCATCTCTCTCCCCAAGATTTGTTAGATATGCTAGACATAAAAAAAATATCCACAGTTTGAGCAGCAGAAATAATAAACCATACTAAGTTTGTACCTCAAAACCGTATCACTTTTAAAAATACCAGCTAATCCTCACAAGCACCTTCTCAATGAGCTAACAGTAAAAATATACAATTTTTAATGTTTTAAATTTATTTTAACTATGCGCAGTAGGTATATATTATGGTTTACTAAAATCTTTGCAAAACACTTGGCTGTTTTATTGTTTGTTTGTTTTTAAGAAATTACCTGTAACTTTTGTTCCTATTACAAGCGGTAATGGAATTTCTTCTGGAAGATCTTTGAACTGTGAAATATCTGCAACTTTGCGCTGCTGCAAAAGTCTTATTTTCTGCCGTTTCTGTTTTAACGCTGATCTCTCTTCCTCAAAGAATGCAGAGGAACACCTATAATACAATTAGGTAAAACTATACTTAAATGCAGCACTGAAAACATACATATGTGAAGACACATCAAATAAATAGGCACAGTTCACAAATCAGTGAAGGAAAATGAAAAAGCTTGGGGTGAAGCATTCAAGAGAAAAGGATTTTGTTGAACGGAGTCAGTCAGTCTCATTCCCTAGAATTACCACTCCTAAAATAACAGTTAATTTTAAAATAATACTCAGGAATGCTAGCTGTTGCATTAGAATATCAGAAGAGTACAACTTTTTAGGACTTTTTCTGCTTATAGGGATCCACCTGGTGTCACAACAAAGCTAAAGCAGGTCCCACATCCAATCTACTCTGAATACCAGCTCAATGCATGTAAGGAGCACTTACTGTGAGGTCCCTGACTGCCATCGCTTACTGATACATAGCAGAACCCTTTCACATGTGCTCATTAGCTCAATTAAACTCACTTAGTATGAAAGGGCACTTCTGTGTCTCATCTCCTTGCATCTGTGCAGAGCACAATTCAGCCACAAATCTCTATTATGCAGATGAATTGTTCTGAGATTGATCATAGCAAAAGTACAAATTTGCTTGAACTTGGGCTATTGTATAAAATCAGATAATCTCTAGCAGTCCCCTCCCACATTTTTTTGGGGGGGTGGTGTCTTAAAATGTAATCTAAAAGACTCCCAAGCCTCTTACTTGGCTTTATTAATTTTCACTTTTAACTTACTGACTAGGCATGATGCATGAAGGAGATACTGAAAGCATAAAGACATTAAGGACTCGATCCTATCTCTCATTCCTTATTACAAAAAGTTTGATCATTCTTGTGTCAATGAAAGAAGTCATTTAAAAAAGGAGTAAAAATGCTCTTGTAGGTCTGCTTAATTGCCGAAAGAGTTATTTATCAAGTAATTTACTACCTTTGTTAACTGCTTTACTGCAGTCAAATGCAATTTAAACATTTTCTGTGGAACTCATACAGATATGTATTGATTACTGATCAAGAAAAAGTCCTATTTTACAAGGTTATTTTAGAAGACACTGACAACTCCTCTGCTGGTTCCCCCTTCTACACTGCAAATGATTTTCTGTTTTAAATCCCTTCAAGATCTTCCTCAGTCATTTCTCTCTCACTCAGTACGGAGCAGTCAGCTCCTATTTCTAAGTCTACTTCTACTACTCTCTTATTATATATACACATAATAATTTTTTAT